CGTGCGCCGCAGAATAAGAGAACCCGGTCGAGAGAAGCGGCCGGGCCTTCTGTTCTTTTACGAGAAATAGGGTGGTTTATTTGAAGAAATTAACTCTAAAAAACACCAAAATTTCTAACCGTGTAAAGCATTACTACTTGTTGCATTTGTTGCACAATTTTGTCACCGTCGGAAGATCCAGGAAAACTTACGACTATTTTTGATGTGTGAGAGGTTTTGTTTGGTTTCGGCAAAGAAAAATAATATAGCACGACTCCAGCCGCCGCGGAACCACCTGGTCCAGATTCCAGCCGCGGCCGCGACGTCCAATAATGCATGACTGCCCCCCGCGGCCGGGAGGCACACACGAGATGGAACGCGGCGGCCGCCCACCGAGGAAGAAGAAAACCTAGCGAGGCCCGATACAAAACAGAACACACACGAAAGGCTGGGACCGTGCGCTTTAACTTTTCATGCGCAACGGCGTGTCACACTGCGGCAGTGATAGGCAGTGGCCCAGAGAAAAGGGGCGAGACCGCGCGCGGGGGAGGGGGGTGGAGCAAGGGTGGAGCAAGGGGGGAGCGCGGAGGTGGAGCGGAGGTGGAGCGGAGGTGGAGCGGAGGTGGAGCGGAGGTGGAGCGGAGGTGGAGCGGAGGTGGAGCGGAGGTGGAGCGGGGGTGGAGCAGGGTGGACCGTGTCGGTCAGGGCACCATGTGAACAGGTTTCCTGAACCTTGCCGTTGGTTGATACAGCCCACGCTCTCGGTCTCCTTAACGAGGATATTGCGCTGCCCCCTCTAGACGGGGATGCTCTGGGCGAGCGAATCCCACTCGAGCAGCCCGGGCGCCTGCGCGCACTCCAAGCAGAGAGGATCAGACGTGACTGACTGTGCCTCGGACTGTGCCATGTGGTCGACGAGGAGCCCCTCAACCAGTTGAGTTTCGCTCGACGCGCCGCAGACGGATGCTCGCCATTCTACTACTCTTGCTCCGCTGACAAAGAGAAGGGCAGTGGAGGGGAGAAGCAGAGTCCAGAAGTTAAGGCAACAACTCCCCTGCACAGCAACAACAAACAAAAACAAAAAAAAAAGACTACAAAAAGTGATGACGTGACGTGACCATCACCACTGTAGATGGTGGCAAGAGGGAGAAAATAGCAATTCCTCAGCTACACGACGCAAAACTCTTGCAAACCCACACACGCACAACATTGCCAGACAAAACGCAGCGTGCTGCAGCATGATACGGCGCAATCAGGAACAAAACCGTACACGCGCCGTACACGTGCCACACAATCGCCCCGCCCCGCCCAAGCCCCGCCCCAGCGCCGCCTTCCAAACTCGTCCCATTAATCATAGCAGGGTGTGTCCTCAAGTCGCAACTTTTATTACAACGGTGAACACGTAATGAACGAAATTTCTCCCCTCGCTCTCCGCACTGTCCTGCTCCCCGCGGAGAACCTGCGCCTAATAATTCTTCAGCCGCAGCGACAGGTCTTCTACTCCACCCCTTGCCTTTCCCTCCACCTATCTGGCGCTGGAGACCACCCATATCTCTCTCTCTCTCTCTCCCTCTCTCTCTCTCTCTCTCTCTCTCTGACTCTACACTCTCTCTCATTCCTCTCTTACTCTGTCCACCTGTTTTTCCTGACCCCGCAGGATGCCTTTCCCCTCTAACTTTCGCCCTCTAGCAGCAGCCGGCACCCTTTCTCGCTCCAGCTTCTGTCCAGCACCCCCTCCTGGCGCCCTGCCCCCCCCCCCCTTCTCTCCTCTCCCGCCGTCGGTTCGGGTTCTTGTTCTCATTTTTCTGCTGAACTGTAAGGAAACTTGGCTGCGTCCTTATTACCGCTCCATCCCGGCCGGCGCCAGCAGCGCCAGCGGCGCCAGCAGCACACCTGTCGAGGGGCGGCGCCGGCGTGGCGGATACTCTGCCAGAAAACTGACACGAGCAGTAAGTTTTGTTTGGTTCCCGGCGCGACACCGCCACCACTGCTGCTGCTGCTCTCCGTGTGTTTTCGCCTCACGCTCAGATTTTTCTCCTCGCCACCGCTGTCTCTGGCGCGGAGGGCGCGGAGCAGCGAGACGAATGCAAACAAACGGCTTTTTCGCCTCCCCACCCTCTCTCATCCACTCTCTCTCTCTCTCTCTCTCTCTCTCTCTCTCTCTCTCTCTCTCTCTCCGCCAAATCCAGCAGCGTCACGAGCGCCGTGCCGCGTCCATCCATCACGTGGTCGCGCATACCACGCCCCGCCACACCACACCACGGACTCCGACATAGTGCTGGACCTATGGAGCTGGAATGTCGCCAAAAGTTAACCGCGTCTCAGCCGGACGGACGCGTGTCTTCCTTTACGACGATACGTTTCAACGTACGTCAGGCCACCCACCACCGTCTCTCTCTCTCTTTCTCGATCGTTCTTCCGAAAGCCCCCCTCAAGAAACCGTTTCCGCGAAAACAATAAGAGAAAGATCGGAGGAAAAAAAAGCTTCCCGCGAAAAGGTTTTTTCTTTCTTATATTTCCCAGCAGTGTACTGCCCCCTAAATGTCGCTATCCTTTGGCGGCCCAGAGGCCTGGCATGGCAGAGTGCTGCACGGGGGCTGCTCCTGCTCAGCTCAGGCCTCCATGAGTGCCACGCCACACCGCCGGATTTTCTCGCGTCTTTTCAGACGCTGGAAAGGGGTTCGGCGAGCCCTCGCCGCGGAGGCCCTCGCCGCCCTCACCTTTCACACACGGCGTCACATTGCGACGCGGGGCCGCGAGTGGGGGAGCAGAAGTAACACAAGGCGCGGCGAGGGGTAAGAAGTAGAAAAAGATCGGAGGGAGAAAAAAAAACACTTTCTCCGCCCGCGCTGCTGGTCGGGGAGGCGCGCGCGCGCGCTCAATTTTTAAATCAGGAAATCACTTTATCCGTTTTTTGGCAGCGGGACACTGAACGGCTCCCCGGCCGCGCCGACCCACTCTCTTATTAACGTGTCCCTTTGTCGTCGTGTCGACTCTGACAATGGCGACGTCGGCTCGGGGCTTGCAGTGCCTCGCCCGTATTTCTTCC